ACAGTCCAATTCAGGCCAAAGACTAGGAAAGCCGACAGCCAAAGGGCAAGTGTTTGTGCCAAGTTAATCCCCTTTAGAGAGGCTCCATTTGGCTGCTGAGGAAGAAAGAGGTCAAAGGAGGACAAAGTGGCCTCACACTGCCCTGCTGGACAGCACCGCAGAGAAACAACACAGAGCTTCACCCATACAGCCTTAAACTGTTCACTTACTTACCCAGCTTGGAACTTCTGGATAAGCATCAAGAACTGAGATTCAAATACATTACAGAAAAGTGTGCCTGGGCTGGCTGCCTTCCCTGGTGGAAATCCTGGCTCCTGAGGAACTTGGCTACTAAAGCACCCAGCTCAGTATTTTCAACTGTGCCCCTGCCCCAATCTGCCAAGTACTTGCTGTCAAACCTTCTGGAGCATCTCCACTGTCACCTCTATGTCCCTGAATGTTCGCACCTCTGAAATGCTCCCCTGGAACACTCTTCCTTTCCAGCTATCTCAATCCCCACCCTTCCTGGCTCAGGTCAAGTTCCACACTGCCTTCCCATAAGCTTCCCCAGAACCAGCTGGCTTGTCCAGGACATGAACCCCACCAGTACAACCTTTCCACCTGTCAACCTGGGCTGGCTGTACAGGACGCTGCTTCCGTGTTGTGTCCTATACAGCAGCAGTCCCCAACCTTTTTGGCACCAGGAAACCTGTTTCACAGAAGACAATTTTTCCATGGACCGAGGATAGGGGAGTGGGTGTCGTGGGTGAGGGGAGGTGGTGAAGAGCTCAGGCAGTGATAGGCAGCCAGTTTCTGAATAGGCCACGGACCAGTACCAGGCCACAGCCCCGGGGTTGGGGACCACAGCTGTACAGAATCTCCATCCCCCAGGGAGGTCTTGCAAGGGCTGGAATCCAGGAAACATCACTTCCCCTCCAGGACCTTGGGCATTCCAGCACCTCTCAGCCTTTTGCTTTGCCTGCTTCACAAATTAGTCACATCAAGTGGGCTGACAAGTTCTTTGTAAAACTTGTAAAACTATAGTTGCATGACCATCACAGAGCTTTATGCTGAATAATGTATGTAAACACTGCAACCCCTAATCTTGTCTCTCTTCATCTGCCACAATCTCAGGACTCTGATTCTTCCATAGTATCACTAAATTATGATTTGATAGCCTGGGAAGGAAGATAAAACCGTGAGGAAAACCAACCCCATGTCCCAAATCCTGAGGCCTCCAGAAAAACCATGCACACAGTAGGAACTCAGTGAAGGACTTGCCACTGAATGCTAGGGGACCAGCAAGGAGCCATCCCCATGTCACAAAAAACATTCTCTCCTTTGGCAGGTGCGGGCAGAGAAAGGGCTCAATTCTTGAGTCTGTTGTCACATTAGAGGCCTGATCTAAAAAATGTGGAGCCACTTCCTCCCTAAGGGAGGAGACTTCTGGGGTCTTATCTGGCAGCAGCAGGCAGTCCACACTTCCTGCCCAGTCTCTTCACTTAAAGGTTCCACAGGAAATGACTAAATTAACTCAAAGTTTAGACCCTTGACTATCTTTCCCCCAGGCATTCACCCTAATAAAAAGTCACTCAAGAACTGTGGAGATTGAATATGACACTAGAAACATAAGCAACAAAATCAAAAACAGATAAATTGAACTTCATCAAAATTAAAAAAACTTTTGTGCATCAAAGGACACTACCAAGAGAGTGAAAAGATAACAGAGAATGAGGAAAAAAAATCACTAAATCCCATATCTAATAATGGTTTAATATCTAGAATATATAAACAATTCAACTACAACCCAACAATGCAAAGACAATCCACTCAAAAATATAAGCAATGGACCCAAATAGATACTTCTCCAAAGAAGGTATTCAGAAGGCAAATACGCACATGAAAGATGCTCAACATTACTTATCATTAGGGAAATCCAAATCCAAACCACAATGAGATACCACTTCACACCCATTAGGATGGCTATAATTTAAAAAAAGAAAGTAACAAGTGTTGGAGAGGATGCTGAGAAATTGGAAGCCTCGTTCACTGCTGCTGGGAATGTAAAATGGTGCACCACTGTGGAAAACAGCATGGTAGTTTCTCAAAAAGTTAAATATAAAATTACTATATGATCCAGAAAAATCCACTTCTGGTTATAAATCCAAAAGAAGAGTTCAAAGGAGAGACTCAAACAGATATTTGTACTCCCATGTTTATAGCAGCATTAGTCACAATAGCCAAAGGGTGGGGGCACTGACCTCATTCCTCTGCAGTCCATGTGTTTCAGAAAAAGAAAAAAAATACAACAGCTAAAATGTAGAAGGAACCCAACTGTTCATCAACAGATTAATGCATTTACACCCAACAGAATATTATTCAGCCTTTAAAAGGAAGGAGATTCTAGGCCAGCAGGTGGCTCATGCTTGTAATCCCACCACTTTGGAGGGCCATGGCAGGAGGATGGCTTGAGGCCAAGAGTTCAAGACCAGCCTGGGCAACATAGCAAGAGCCTGTCCCTACAGAAAATTTTTTTAAAAAATTAGCCAGGTGTGGTGAAATGTGCCTTTAGTCCCAGCTACTCAGGAAGCTGAGACAGGGGGATCACTTGAGCCCAGGAGTTTGAGGCTGCAGTGAGCTGTGAGCTATGTACTCTGCACTCCAGCCTAGGTAACAGAGTGAGATCCTGTCACAAAAACAAAAAACAAAAAACAAAAAAAGGAAGGAGATTCTGACACATGCTACACAAGGATGAATCTCAAAGGCATGGTAAGTGAAATCAGCCAGTCGCAGGACAAATACTGTATGACTCAATTTATATGAGGTACCTAGACAAGTCAAATTCACAGGGAAAGAAAGTAGAATGGTGACTGCCAGGAGTTGGGGGAAAGTGGGAATGGGGAGGTATTGTTTAACAGGTACAGAGTTTCTGTTTGGGATGATGAAAAAGTCCTATAAATAGACTGTGGTAATGGTTACACAACATTGTGAATGTACTGAATGCCACTGAATTAGACACTTAAAATGGTTAAAGTGGTAAATTTTATGTATATTTTACCACAATTTTAAAACACAGAAAAAAGTAACAATCAAGCCATATTCCCAACCCAGTGAGATAATCCCTCTTTAAAAGCCAGTTCTGATGGTCTGGCAAATCCTTCCCATGGCAATAGGTTCTAAGGATGCTATTCTGTTCCTTGTATTCTGACCTCAAATCCAGTAATCTGGGTCCTGAATGCAAGCAAAGAGCTCAGGTGGACTACTGTTTGAAAGGCTGAGGCTTGAGCTTCCCTGATCCAGGTAGTTTGGGGGATAACTGTCTGATATGTTCAACAGGCTCCCAACATAAGCAGAAGACAATTTGACCAGCTTTTACTCTCTATTACTTCCCCTTTTGCTGTCCCACAGGACACCAGACTGCCATGTAGAAAGAAAAACAGGGGCCACACTGATCAGCCTGTTTTTTTAAAGTTGGAAAGTGGAATCCCTGTTTCCCCCACCTCTGGCAGATCTACATATTTAATATTCTTTGTACTTCATATAATGAAGGACACAGTTTTTACCTATCCAACAGCAGAACTAACAACCTTGGCCCTCTGTGGTCTCTAGGGCCCTTTCACAAAGATTATCCTGTTAGATCTCAAAATAACCCAGTAAGAATGAATGTGTAGTGGTTGTTATCCCCCACTGAAGACATGAAAAAACTTGGGCTCAGGAAGATGAAGTAATTTGTCCCAAGTCCCACAGCCCCAAGTGACAGGGCCAGGGTTTGCACACAGGTACTGAACTTCGGAGTTGTCCTTCCTCTCCGTTACTTCAGAAAGATGAACAAAGCAGAAATGAAATCAGACCATTTTGAAGTTAAAGGAAAGCAAGTAAAAATGCTTCCCAATTTGGCAACTAATACGACTAGTAGGTTCATCCCTAGAAAAGCAGCCTGGGAAAGAACTAAGCGCCCCTCCTCTTTCTGTAACAGGCTCCATGAACCAACCCATGTATGTTTTTCATAACCCTCTCCCTTAACTAACTACTTGACCCTTTGAGTAATTTTCCAGAAATGATGGACTGAAACTCCCGGCCTCAAGAGATCCTCCCGCCTGGGCCTCCCAAATTGCTGGGATTGTAGGCGTGAGCCACTGCACCTGCTCTGAAATGATGGATTTTCTCCAAGACAAAGGAGTTGAGATTCTAAAGGTCCTAGGGCAGACTTCCTGACGCCAAGATTCAACATCCCCCACAACCTGCCCCTAATGCATGTAGCCCCTTGTGAGATACACCACAACCTGCGACAAGGCACGTGGCCCCTCCTTTAAAAGCCCACGATATCCCTTAGTTGTGCAGGATTTGAGGCAGCTTCTCCAGGACAAAACGTCTATCCTATTAAATTCCTTCTTTGGCAATCCTCGTTGTCTCAATAATTGGATTTTTGTGCCACAAGCAACTGGACCTAGACTGAACCCCCTTGTGGTTTCGACATTTCCTTGCGGTCCACCCTGACTTAGAAATTCTTAGATCTTTTCTTTTGGATTTTTGCACTCAGTGACTGGTGCTGCGAGTCCAGCTCACAGTCACTTGTTGCCTTTTCCAAGGCGCGTTGTCGGACAGGGCAGTTTGCCAGACTCAGGGAAATCTAGCATGGGGGTGAAAGGTTAGCCACGCCATGGAGAAAATGAACAAAACACACATCTAAAACTAGAAGCGGCGTGGACACCCACACAGGGAACACCCGCCAGGCAAGCAGGAGCCAATGAGACCACGGGGGCAAGACCACTGCCCCACCGGCCCCAACGCACGCGCGCCGACCTCACGGACACTGAAAGAGTACCGCACCAGGCAGCGGACTTCGTGGGCAGGCAGCATCTTTCCGCGCATGCCCCAGCTGCCCGCGCATGCCCCAGCTGCCCGCGCATGCGCACTTAGGCAGTTGTCGTTCCCAAATAGTCCCCTGCTCCCCGCAACCCCCCGTTCCGGACCCCAAACGTTGGCTGCCTGAGCTACAGCCCTCATTCTGTTTTTCTTACCTTGCGCCCAGTTTTCTCCCGTAGGGCCTTCAGGCGTTCCTTTCGCCGCAGCGCCTCTTCCTCTAGCCGGCCTACACCAGTCGCAGTCGCCGCCATCTTGCCCACCGACCCCCCACCTTTTCTCTCGTCCTGCATTGCGCAGGCCCAAGGCCGAATGCCTCACGGCCAATCCAAGGACGAAAACGAGAGAGCAGGAAGTCCTGCAAGCCAATCAATGCTGAGTTATTACAGGAGGGCCCGCCCCTTTCCTCCGGGCGAATTGCCTAGCAGGTGGGGAGTCAGAAAAAAAAAAGGTGCTAAGGCTCGATTTGTCCAACGCTAATCCGTGAGAAAGCAAGTGGAATCAGACCTGAGAGAAGGAGACTAGAGTGCGTCGATCGCTATGATTCTGCCTAAGCCCTAACCACTGCTCACTCCATGCGGCCTCTTGGAATGCCCTGACCCTTCCTTGTCCACTTGTCCTGATTCTTCAAGGCTCGAATGCCTTCAAGAAGCCTTTCCTGACCCTCACTCCGATTCCACCCTAATATGAAGTCTGCCTCTACACCTCTCCAGCTATCAGTGGCTCCCCAGGTTCAGCTGACCAAGTGCTGCTAAGCCCTCTGTGTTCACTCTCAGCTCAGACAAAAGACTGCGCAGTGTGGGACTTGGCTGGATGGCCATTTCCCTCTCAAAGAGGGAAATACCGCCCCCTCATACCACCCCCTCCTGTAACAGCAAAGTAATCAGGGTCAAGCTGCCTTCCCTGAAGAAGAGCAAACTCCATCCTGGACCCAGTTTGCCCTAGGGACCCACTCTCCTCCTCCCCCAACTTAGGAACTGTTGGTTTGGCCTCGACTGCAAGTGGTTACAAGTTGCGTGGCTCCCCAGGAGAAGCTGCCAGGGTCTTCCTTCCTACATTAATCAGCGTGTCCTGCTCTGTCCTGCTCGCTGATCCGCCCTCCCCCACCCCCATCCCACTAGGCTGAAATCAAGATCTTCTGTCAGTATGTGGGGGGTCCCCAGAGCCACACGCCCTCTCACCTGGGGATAGGAGACCATGCCTTCCACTACCACCCACGTCCCCTGCAAGGGGATGTCTAGCTTTTTAAGGAAGGCTATTCCCTGCCTGGGGCCTGCCTCCCATACTGGGGTGGCTGCAGGTAGATGACCACCCCTCCCTTTCCAACTCCCTTTAGAGTCCTATGTGCCACAAACCCCAGGTATAGCCTCCTCCCCCTCCACAGACCCCCTTAATCTCACTACCTTGGGCCTGTCTAGGCCCTCTCCCCTATAGTGGGTGGAGTGCCCTGCCAGGGCTTGACATGAAGGTTGTAGGTGCTCAGGAATTGTCGGCTCAGTGCCAGCACGGATGGGGCAGGAGAAACGGCCAGACTGGAGGGAGCCCAAGAAGCTAGGAGGACGGAAAAGGAGAGATATGGAGACAGGGTCTGTCTTCTCTTGGCCACTCAAGGTCTAGGAGTCTCCAGACTGGTCAATTTCTAGGACCAATGGCACCTCTGTGGGCCAGGCATACTTCTCCCCAGCCATGACAAAAGGCCTGACACCTGTCCAACACGAGGGGCCCCTCACCTCACAGGCAGTCTGGGCATGAGGAAAGGGGTGCAGGGATGATGGTGGCAGTAGCCCAGCAGAGTCAATCAGGCCTAGGTCCCTGTCCCTGCTGCCCCTGGCTGCTCATGTGGGCCTCTGTTTCTCCATCTGTAAAACAGAATCATGAGGCACTCACCTCAAGAAATTAAAGGAACAAAGTGCTGAGCCCTAGAGTGGGGATCACCTCCACTGTAGCATCTGGGAAGGCTTCCTGGAGGAGGGAGGAGACTCATGGGAATGGCCTAAACCTCCCTGAGATCTGCCAGGAAAGAGGGCACCGCTCCTCTAAAGGTATTTGAGGATAGTCCTGCTGCTCTCCCCCCACAAACAGCTGGAGCTCAAAACTGGCATTTCAGTCTCCCCATACAGCACCTGGCACTAAGCGCTACAAATGATCATCATGGTGGTGGTTATAATTACTTGTTAAAGGACCCTGGCCATCCCCGCGCGGCCCGCACCCTCTTTCCTGAAGGGCGGTAACTCCAACCAGGCGGGCTGCGTCCCAGGCGGATCCAGACCCTGGGCAAGTATGGAATCCCTGACCCCAAACCTCGTCTGGGAGGCTCAGAGTGGCCCCTTCCACAGGCATTGGTGGGGGCGCGGCCTGCAGGGGGCGGGACGGCAGAGCACCCTCCCCGGCCGCCGTGACCTTAGGCTCCTCCTCCTGCCCGGCTCTCCGCCCTTTGCTTGGTCCCGGGAGAGGCGGGGCGGCGGTGGCTGCAGCGAAGTGTAGGAAGCCGGGCGGCGGCCGGCCGCGAGGAGGAGGAGCTTGCTGACTTGGGCGGTTCAGCGCGGCTGGGGTCAGAGCCGCAGACTTCCCCCAAGTAGTACCGCGCCGCTCCACCCCGGAGTGACGCCCTCCGCCCATGGGCCTGGCCGGGGGCAACCGGAGGGCGGCGCGGAGGAGGCGGCGACAGGTGGCGCGCAGCAGGTCCAGAGCCAGGCCGGGCCATGGCCGCCTCAGAGCGGCTCTACGAGTTGTGGCTGCTCTACTTCGCGCAGGTGAGCCCGCCCCGCCCCCGCTGTACCCCTTGCTTCGCGCACCCGGCACCTGCTGAACCTGCGGCGTCGCCGGGACAGCGGAGGTGCGCCCGCGCACGCGGGGCGTCCTCCGGCTCCGCACACACGTGTGTGCCCCCGGCCAGCCGTGTGCCTTTGGCACTTATACCTGGGGGACAGAGCTCGCGGGCGCGCACTTCATAGCAACCTCTCCAGCGGGACCGCGCAACCTGAGTCTTGCTTGCAGGAGGAGAGGGTCTTGGGTCAAGGCAGCCGGACACTCGCCACTTTACAGACAGAGAAACTGAGGCCTGGAAAGAACTGAAGACTGGCCGGCGGGTCGGAAGGGAAAATGGAACTTAGCATGTGGGATGCCCCTCCTGTGGGTGTGGCCCGGTTAGGTGATCGTGACCAACAGGTCCGAGTGTGCTAGGGTTAGGGGTGTGGAGGGGGGATGCTCCTACCGCAGGTCCTACTTGAGTCAGACGCCCCCAGTGAACAGGCAGTGATAAGCTCCTCCCAGACTTGAGGCGGCCCCACCCCCATTTGGGGGGATGGACCCTCTAAGAGAAGAAAATAAGGTTTTGCTTTGGATGTCCAAGGTGGGGTTGGGGGTTTGAGGGCAGGAGGAATGTCTAAAGGAGTTGGAGGGAGGCCCTTTCCTCCTGAGCTCCCCACCGCTGCCTCAGAAACTACCTCAGGTGGCCTCAGGAGGTGAGGGAAGTGACTGACCCTGGTGTCCCATCAGCTGAGAAACTGGTGTCCCCCAAACTCTGTCTCATATACATAGGCCCCCACTTTCCTTCTTTACCCACAGCACGGAGGGATCCCAGGGTAACACCTCCCTCCCTTTAACCCAGCACCTCCCTCCCTGCACCTGCCTGGCATCATGCTCCTGGCTCAGGTGTGTCCTGGGCACAATGGATCATTGTATGCCCGTGAACAGCTTGTCACCGGGAGGAAGTTCATGCTCAGACCAGCTGGCCCTATGTGAAGAGGCTGACCAACCATCTCCCAGGGACCTGGAATCCAGGCCATAAGGGCCACAGCCTCTTTAGTGTGCTCAGGTTGTGAGAGGTCCAGGTCCCTGGCAGGAGGCAGTGAGTGGAGTAGAGTCCCTCTTTGGTGTGACCCGGACCAAAGTCTGTACTTCTGAGCCTCTGCTTCCCTGCCTGTAAAACTGACCCAGCCCTGACCTCAGGGGCTGCCTGGACTCTGCAGAGGGGTAGCCACTATGGCTGGCCCAGACCAGAGAAGTCTCTTTGCTTCCCTGCCCTCTCCCCACCTCACCCCACCCTCTCTGTCTCCATCTCCGATGGTTGGCCCTCGTGAAGGAACAAAGAGTCTGGAGGGAAACCTACCCCTGGTCCTCCTACCTCTGATTGCTCTTTAGCTCTGGGCAGGTTCTTGGTCTGTGACCAGGCGAAGGGGGCTTAAACCAGGTGATGAATCTGAGAGATGTTAATGACAGGTCTTCAGGCTGGATGGCAGTCTGCTGGGGTGTCTTGGTAGACCAGGACTCCGGGACTGTACCTGCAGCATGGTTTCCTCCTGATGCCCCTTCTAGCTGAGCTCTGCACACAGTCACCCACCCCCATCCCCTCAGCAGGTGTTTAGCACTCATATCTGTGCTGACACTGTCCCCCAGCTCCTCACCTCACTGGGCAGGTATGGGGTACCTGCTGTCTGGTTGTAGTTTTGGAAGCCTGGGCAGGTAGGGGGCAGCCTGGGGCCGGGCAAACAAATCCAGGATGTGAGAGCAGAGCCAGGAGCGGGCGGGGCCCGGCCGCCCAGCACTGCCTTCCTGCCGCCTGGTCCTACTCCTGCTCCCGGAACACCATCCCCACCCCTTGTGCTGGGCTCCCAGGGAGGGGTAGTGCTGTGTAATTTTGAGTTCTGCTAGGGACCTATTGTGTGTGTGCTTGGGGGAAGGAGAATACAAGGTGAGGAGAGGAGCTGATAGAGGGTGTTAAGAGACCCCTGAGTTGGCCAGCACCCAGCCAGCAACGCCTGCGCCCCTCCCTTCAGCAGTGAGAGCTGACATCAGCTGGCAAACCTGTTTCCCCAGTTGTGGGTCTGGGTGGGGACATGGGGGGGCACGCCCCCCTTCCTCCCTTTCCTCTCACCTGAAAGACCCCAGGTTTAGACCCCCCCAACCCTCCCCCTGTAGGCCCTGCTCAACTGGGGGGTCCCATGGTGGGTGAGAGGGCTGTGGGTGGCTACTAAGAGAGGAGGGAAGGGCCCAAGTGCCCCTGGACATCACTCAGAGTTCCTCAGGGCCCTGGTGGGGAAACCAAGGCAGGGTCCTACAAAGGTTGTCGCACCTCGCATTTAGTAGGTGCTCCTTGGATATTCACTGGGTAGAGGAGATGGGCCCCACGATAGTGACCAATCAAGGAGGGCATCCCAGAGGAGCCTGAGTTTGGGCCTTGATGGCTGAGGGGACAGGAACAGTGGGAACAAGCACATGGCAGTGAGAAATACAAGAAGCAAGTTGTCAGGAGTGGAGGACAGGCAGGGGTAGCCAAAGAGGGCTGGTAGAGGGTGGGGGCACATCCAGAGGACTCTGAACCCACCAGAGCTCCCCCAGGGAAGGCATAGGAAGGGTGTGAGAGGATAAGGGGACAGGGACAGCACCTGACAGGCTGGCAGTTGGGCAGCATGTAAAAGTTAATGTAAAATAGCATGCAAATGAGTGCCCCCCTCTTCGGCTGGAGCAGTGGAGTAATGTTGTTCAACAGCCCCCAGTGAAAGGGAGCACTGTGGGGGGAGTACCAAGAGCTGAGGGCCACTCCGAGTCACAAAGGTCAGGGCAGGACAAACACTCAGGTTACAGGTGGGAGCACAAGCTGAGCTCTCTAGTTACGCCATTAAGGACTCACAGGGCCTCTAGGGAAGTTAGGTCAGAGCCAGAGTTGACCTTGCTCTGCCCACCCTTCCCCTACATCCCTTATCCCTGACTAGTGATCTCTACTGCCTCATGGAAACATGGCCAGGCCCCCTGGGACCTTATCTGGGTCATATTCCTTCCTGGGCCTCAGTTTACCTTCTTAAAATGGGTAAAGGGAAGGTGGAACAGCCTCCTGGGTGCTTGGTCTCCATCAGCACCTCAGAGGGACAACAGGGGTTCTTCTTCCTCCCTGCCTCTGTGACCAAGACAACTGAAGCGGGAGCAACTGAGGTTATGGGGAGATTAGGACAGAGCCCAGGGGTGAGGGGATGGTAATCCCTGGAGTTGTTATAGTAACTGGGGAGCTGATGGGAAGGCATGGGGTCCCCATGGAAACAGGGTCAGTTACTGTGGGGACCCTGGAAGGAAATTCTCAGTTTCCACAGTGATAGTACAAGGGGGTCATTAGCCCTGGGGGGTGTTATGGAGACCAGAAGGTTCACCCACTCTTTCCAGTATCCCCTCTCCAGGTAAGAGGAAGATACTGGCCTAGGCACTCAGACCACTATCCTCAGTTGTCCTTGCCTCTGGCAAAGTCCCCATCTTCCTGCTTCATCCCATGGCCTAAGGTCCTTCAAGTCTGACCTCCAGACCTCATGATGTAGCCAGAAGCCACCTTTGGCTTGACATTGCCCTCCCCTTCATAATGCTGAGTGGGGAGACTCCCTAGGTTTGAGAGAGAACAGATCCTACCCCAACTGTCCCATTTTTGCATGTCTGTCCCTGGAGATGGAATGCTTACCACCAGCTGGGCACCTCCAGCTGGGCACCTCTGACTGAGAGGAGGCACCCACTATTGAGCTGCGATCTTCTCTTCCTCCCTGCTCCTAGCTGTTCCCTGGAGTCCATTAGCAAACTCCATTTCCCCTGCCTGGGGCAGCCAGCCCAGGAGACCTCAGCTCTGCCAATGAGCCAAGGCCTGCCTCTTGCCTGTCACTCACAGAGGGGGCTAGAGAGTGTTGCCCTGGAACACCATGAGCTTGGGCACGCAGGAGCCCCTGGGTTTGAAGCTTCCATTCACCCTGACCTGGTATTGGGTGGGTGTGGCTGGAGAGCTTTTACCATTAAGCAAGGGATGGTTTTAAACAGGTTAAATGGTAAGTAACAAGCTACCAAGAGTTAGAATGGGGACTGGACTCCAGAACCCATGCCCTCAACCACTGATTCCGTTGGTAACCCCAAACTCTGAGGCACCAGACAGGGGGGTGCTTGGAAAGGTGTTCGCCCTGATGGGGGGGCATTTCAACAGAGAAAACATGGACAGCAAACTGCATGCAGACCTGTGTGGGTGGGGCAGCAAGTAATGCCCTTGGACTGGGGCATCCAGTAGGTTTGGGGTGCGGAGGCTGGAGATGCAGGGCCTCAGATGTGGGGGGAGGTGGACTTGCTCTAAACATGGGAGCTTCTGATAGGGTGGGTGACTGGCTGATCAGGCAGTGATGGTGACTGATGTCTATTGGAGCTGCACTGCGTGCTGAGCTTGGGGCAGGTCAAGCAGGGTCTGGGGACAGCATGGTGTCAGGCAGCTCAGTGGTCCCTATCCCCCCAGCAGACTCTTCCCCCTCCCATGCTACAGCCACCTGCCCTCAGCCCTCCAGATTACCTCAGTGCCAGGGCAGTGGCAGTTCCATGCCCTCCCACTCCAGGACCGTTTGAGCCTAACCATCCCTTGGGAGCCCCTCACCCGAGGCACTCTTGAGTGCCTCACAGCTGGTGGGGCATAAGTTGGGGTCCCTACAGGGATGACCACAAGACCCTCTCTTCCCAGGGACACCAAGCTCCCCCATACCCACAGCATTCTCCCCTGCCACAGGGCCTGGCACCACTTACCTGGGGAGGGCTTGGCAGGTATGGCCGGTCCTGACTTGCCCTCAGGGGAAGGGCTGGGTTGGGACAGGGGGTGGCCCTGCTTCAGGTTCCTGCTCAGAGCTGGGGAGGGAGGAAGGGCCTGACTGGGGAGGAGGCTCCGAGAGGGGTATGGGGGGCCCAAGCACCACAGCCACACCTTCTGGGCTCCGGACTCCTTCACACGCAGCACTACCACCTTGCTCTTGTCCCCCTGCCCTGTTCTGTCTTCTGACCCTGGCTCCTGCAGGGACTCCCATACCCCTGCATACAGCAGCCTCACGACACTGGGTCCAGGTCAGAGCTGGCCTGAGGCCTCCCAGGGAGAAAAGGTGAGACCTAGAAAGGTAGAACAGCAGCTACCCTGACACCTACCTAGTGGTGTGTTTTAGAGACCCCCTCATGCCCCCTCCATAGCTCATGAAGGCAGCCTTGATTGTCCCAGCCCTGACCCCAGACCTACTGAGAGTTTGCAGGACTGGACAGGCTGAGGGTGTGGTTCTAGGGACAGAAAGCAGGAGTGTGCAGAGTTTGAGGGATGCACCCCTGTTCTGGGAGGGCTGATCCAGATGATGGCCATGGGGAGGGTGGGAGGTTCCTGCTTAAAAGTACCAAAAGCCCAAATCACAGGATGCAGTAGGCACGGGGTGGGCAGAGGCCTGGACAGGAGGATGTGAATCACAGGGAAGGGGGAAGGCTGGAGAAGCAGCCCCCGGTTGGACCAGGGGCCTGGAATGCCAAGCTCAGCAAGTGAACATTTACTGGGGAGGGGGAGGGGAGCGTGATCAAATTTGGGCTTTCAGGTGCTCAGCAGAGCTGCAGCTGGCAGGAACGACCCACATTTTGGGTGAGAGATGACTAGCTTGACTAGGTGGGAGATGAGAAGACAGTGTTGAAGACACTTTTGACAGCAGATGGGTCTGTGGGGCCACTGAGGTAGGGGTCAGGGGTCACATGGTCAGCTTGGGCTGGCTAGCTAGCAACCATGAGTGGTCCTGGCCTAGAACAAAATCTGGCTTTCAGCACCCTCAAAGGAACAGCTGAAGCTGAGGTACTGAATGGGGCATCCCCTCTGGGGCCTCCCATCTCCCCATCTGTAATGGGAGGGGTCAAAAGAAATGGAGCAGGAGCCCCAGCCTCCCCTGCTGTTTCAGGATCTGGGCATTTTGGTCTCCTTGCTGCTTGCTGCGGAGGCTGCCAGCAGCAGAGGGTGGAGGGGTCAACAAACGTAACTAACTGACAAAAAGTCACAGGGATATGGGCTTGTGCCTTGGTGGCCTCAGCCCCTCTCTCAGTTGCCTGGGCTTCAGATTTGTGCCAAAATGCACAAGGAATGTCCCCAAACACAGGGTGGACAGCTGCTTTGTGTGGGTTTTTTGTGGGTCTGGCCCAGGTCTGCTGGGGTCAGGCCTCCTTCCCTGGGGCCATTCAGACCTGGCCCTGGGGTCTGGGGCCCCAGGCTACAAAAATTAGCTTCATCCGAAGATAACTCTGGAGGTTCTTGGGTATGAGGTCCATGGCCCCTGGGGAGCAGCCTCAGGCCTGCTGGGTGCTGACCACGATGTGTCCCTTGTCTCTTCATCCTTCTCCACTCTAGTCCCTGCCCCACCTCTCTGACTCTGAGAAAGAAAATTGCCTTTAGGCTCAACTGGTTGGAAGCTCCAGATGGGGCCAGCATGGAGGGAGGGAGGGATATAAGGAGGAGCTCAGATATAGGTAACAACCCCCCCCAACCTGTGCCCTGGGAGGGGCTTAGAGGTTAGAAAGATTAGGGCTAGCCTAGGACTTCCTCAGCTGTGTCCCTAAGCAAAGAAACCTGCAGGGTCCAGGTGAAAGGCCAGGACATGGGGTGTGGGGCAAAGGTATGTATGAGCAGGTGTTCCACATCATCTCCTGGTCCTGAGGCCTTGGACCCAGGTTAGGGACCTGTGGGTGCCTTGAATGAAGATTGCTACAGGAGCAGGGAGCAGGACCCGCTGGTAGATGGGAGCTCCTCCAGGCCCAGATCTCATGCCTGTAAAACTAGTCTCCAGCCCACAGTCCAGAGCCCACCCACAAGCCCCACCCACGGTAGGATGGCCCCGCCCTCTGTGTTTCACGCTCCACCCCCAGCGTCAGGCCAGGTCTCTCGCAGCCTGTCTCGCTGGGCCCAGGGTGCCCTGGCCCCCCCACATCCCTGCGGTCTGCCGGGAGGAAGCGGCCCCCCTCCCCCACCGTGACTTTGCGCTTCCTGCCCCAGTCCGGGGCGGGAGGAGACATTTCCCGTTCACACCAAAGTTTCCCTGGCGGCGCCCAGACCTGGGTTCTGCCGCTACCCCTCTTGCCCATGGAACCTGCTCTGGGGCCTGGGGTCCAGGTAACTAGCGAGGGCGGGTGGAGATTCCCAGGGCAAGGGCAGGGCGTTCTGCCACCTGTACGTCGCGGGGGATGTGCGTGCGTCTGGGTCTGCCTGTCCAGTGGTGCACATGCGTCCTGGGGTCCACAGTCAAGGAAGGTTTCCTGGAGTGGTGGCTGCTGAGCTGGGAGGAGGTGGCAGAGGAGGACCCAGCCCAAAACCCTGGGTAGGGGGCTGCTGCTGCCTGGGACACCTCCTGCAGCCCCAGCACCACTGTGGGCCACAACCACACCCCACTTAGGCCCCTCCTCTGGCAGTGTCTGGCCTGCCTGGGTCACAAACATTAGAGATGGGAGCAGAGACTAGGAGGCTGAGAGAAGCAGAGAGGGGCCTGGATGTACCGCAGTCCTCTAATGCTGACCTTCCAAGTTCTTGTACTCCCTCCCCCACTGCTCTGCCTTTAATCCCTGTACATGCCCTGTGTCAACCTGCATTCACTTTATACCTCTGTCTACACCCCCTTGTCCCTCCCCTGATCGCTGTACCCCTGTTGTCCCCCTTCCCCCACCACCATTCCCTTGAACTCCTTTGCCTGCAGAAGGACCTGGGCTACCTGCAGCAGTGGCTGAAGGCCTTTGTAGGTGCCTTCGAGAAGACCATCTCACTGTCCTCCCTAGAGCCACGAAGGTGAGGCTGGGTCTGCACAGAGGGCAGGGCCAGGGCAGGGAGACTGGGGGATCCTTAGCACCCCAGTGACTCCCCTCCCTGCAGGCCAGAGGAGTCAGGTGCAGAGGTACCGGTGCTGCCACTGGATGCGCTGCATGTCCTGGCCGAGCAGCTGGACGGGGCGGACCTGGAGCAAGCCCTGCTGCTGCTCAAGCTCTTCATCATTCTCTGCAGGTAATCCCTGTTGTCCCCTCCACGGGCAGGGGCCTGCAGCTGTGGGCCGGAGGGAGTTGGGGGGACAATAAATTATTGTGACTTCTCCCATCATTTGCTCCCCCAGGAACCTGGAGAATGTAGAGGCAGGCTGGGGCCAAGTGCTAGTGCCCCGGGTGCTGGCACTGCTGACTGGGTTGGTGGCTGAGGTGAGGTGGCTTTGGGGGGGCTGGGGTGGATGGGAAGAGGCAGGCAGGAGTCATGGCTGGGCTAACCCCCCCATCCTCTCTCCCCACACCTATAGCTGAAAAGACAGCCACCACCACAGGAGGGCCGTGGGACCCAGCTGGAGAATGTGGCACTACATTCCCTACTCCTCTGTGAGGGCCTCTTTGACCCCTACCAGACCTGGCGGCGCCAGCACAGTGGGTGAGACCCAGAGGAGGCTGGGGAGAGGTTGGGGGCTTGGTCTATGGCAGAGGTGTGGAGGGAACTGAGGAGGGGTGAGAGCTGGGCTCATGTGCCTGGCCTCACCCCCTAGGGAAGTCATCAGCTCCAAGGAGAAGAGCAAATACAAGTTCGCTCCTGCTGCTTTTCCCTGTGAATTCAGCACCTTCTTCAGAGGTCAGGCCCCGCCCCTGCCCCACTTGGCCCCACCCCCAAACCTAGGCCCCTTCCTTCAGTTTCCTGATCCCGTACATAGCATAGTGGCAGCTGCACTCAGGGCTAGGACAGCCATGAGTGTTTGAGGGGGCCTCCAGAGGCTGAGCAGGAGTTCAGGGACAGAGAGAAGAAAAAGGGCAAACCTGGGTAAAATGAGTAATTTCTTTCCTGGGCTGGAGTGAGGGCCCCCGCCAGGTAAAGGGTGGGGTTGACGTGCCCTCCTCCTTCCCTCCCATCTCCTGGATCCTCCCAGCCACTTATACCCTGCTCTGATCTAGACCACCTGAAAACTCCTTGTTCCAATCCCTTTGTCCCTGTAGCCTCCACGCAGGCTCCACCCCTCCTGGAGACACTGGCTACCTCAGGGTCTCCACCTCCTGCTCCCTTCCTCCCAGAGGAGCTGGTGCCCAGGACACCTCTGGCCACATCTTCTCCCTGGCGACCCTGCTGTCCTGCGTCTTCTCTCTCCTCTCATTGGAGGGAGACTGGCCAGGACATTAGATGGGCTCAGGGTGGGATGTGGCCTGCACAGGGGCAGGCAGGGCTATGGGAAGGTGGTGACCTGTTGGGATATAAAGTGCCTCTGTGGTGCCCCGTGGAGCTGTGGGCCTGGGGCCAGAGGGGAGGCAGCCGCTGTTGGGGGAAGCTCCCTGCTTCCCTTCTCCTATGGCCTGGATGCTCTTCTTAAAACAAACTGGATTTTGTTCTTCCTGTTGTAAATCCCTCAGTGATGGTCAAGATCAAATCCCACTCCTCCCCACAGCCCTTCTCTCCAGTCCCGTGTGCTCCCTGTTCTGTCATCCCGAGTGCTACTGCTTACCCCTGCCAGGGTCTTTGCCCATGCTGTGTCATGTGCCTTCATGGGCCAACTGCGTTCTCAGGCCTCATCTCTAAAGCCCCATCCCCAGGGAGGCCTCCCACCCTGTGCCAGCCACCCCTCCCCTACCCATGTGACCCTGAGCAGGTCCCTTCTGCCCTCTGGGTTTCAGTCCGTGGCCTGACATCCTGTCCAGCTTTGCTGGAGCAGAGCCAGGTGGCCCTCCCACATACGAGGCTGTGAAAGCCCCTAGAAGTCCCCAGTGAGGGCACTGGGGGGAGGGGGGCATCAGTATAGTAGATGCAGCAGGGTCCCGAGAGCAGGGCATGGGAAGCTCTAACCGTCACAGGGGCAGAGGGAGCAGGAGATTTGACCCTCGGTCACCATGGGGAAGCAGAGCAGGGATGTGCTCACCCGGGAGCTCCCACTTTGAGGCTTAAGGATCTGCAGAACTGGCTAGGCTCTCAGGGCAAGGCCATGTTCCCTCAAGACCATTAAAGAAGGGTGTGTCCCTTTCAGACCCCCTAGAATAGAGCCATGACTTCTTAGACCCCCCAGGCAGAGCCGGGTCTTCTCCCTCAGACCGGTCTTTTACTTGGCCCAGCTCCCTCTCCCCTCCACCCCAGGGCACTTACCTCTTGTGCAGTCCCCTGGGTCCACAGCCCTGCAACCTTGGTGACATTGTCCTGCCCTGCCCACCACCCCCCTACCCAGAGACCCTGCAGGATGCAGATCACTTGCCTCCCATGCTGCTGTCGCGTCTCATCCACCTCTTCGGCGCGGTCCTTGCAGGGGGAAAGGTAGGCTGGGAGCTGAGCCTGTGGGCCAGAGGGTGGCTGTCTCAGGTCTCTCTGCTGGGTGAGCCTCTTGCCCACTACCCGTCTCTGTCACAACTGCAGGAGAACGGGCAGATGGCTGTGAGCGATGGCTCTGTGCAGGGCCTGTTGGGTGTGGTGCGGGCCTGGGGCCATGTGCCAGCCCAGGACCCCCGCCTAGTGCCACTGGCGCTGGAGGCACTAGTGGGTGCAGTACATGTCCTGCATGCCAGCCGTGCACCCCCCCGAGGGCCAGAGCTTCGTGCCCTGCTTGAGGGCTACTTCCACGTCCTTAATGCCGACTGGCCAGCTGGTCCGAGCTCGGGCTCTGAAGAGGCCTTTGTCACCCTGCGGGTCAGCATGCTAGGTGGGTATGGGCGCCCAGTCTCTTGGGGAGGGGTACCACAAGGGGAAGGCCCAAGTGATGATGGAAAGGCTGGACTGGGCAACATGGGAGAGAAGGTTTTAAAGATTGTCTGGAGGGGACTGGGCAGGGCCTCACCATTGACCTTTCCACAGATGCCATCCCCATGATGCTGGCATGTGAGGACCGGCCAGTGCTGCAAGCTACCTTCCTCAGCAACAATTGCTTTGAACACCTCACTCGCCTCATTCAGAACAGCAAGGTGGGTGGGGCCCAGGCTGGGGGTGCTGCACCTGGAATGGGAGGAGCCTGGGGGAGCCACGTGTAGGTGCCGAGTTGCTGCTGAGCACAGACAGGCTCGACCAGGCAGGGGTGTTGCAGCTGGTGGGTCAGACTGTGGTTCAGTGGGAGGGCCTGGTGCAGGGACAAGGGCTTGTCCCCCTGAGGCCCCTATAAGGATGGCTGTGTATCCCACAGGAAGGGGTTTGTTATGGAAGGAAGGGAGCTTTCCTGGCCCCTGGTTTCCCTTTCCTTGGCCCCAAGCACAGGGGCTGGAGGAGGGCTCAGCTGCTTCAGACGCAGTGCCCACTCCACCTGCTCATCTGCCCCCGACTGCCCAACTGAGCAGGGCATGGGCGGCTCAGCACCCCATTCTTCCCTAGTGCCTGTTGGCCTAGTGGGGACGCTCTTCCCTCTGGGGCAGAGCCCTGGCAGCTGCCCCTGGTCCTTCTCTAACCCCGCCCTCCCCCATCTTCCTCCCCTCTCTTCTTTGCCTCCTTCACGCTGTGCCCTCCGCCTTCCCCACAGCTGTACCTGCAGGCCCGGGCGCCCCCTGAGGGGGACAGTGACCTGGCTACCCGGTTACTGACAGAGCCCGATGTCCAGAAGGTACCATGCTGGGGCTGACCAGCTCAGGCACCCACTTCCCTGGGCACCCACCCCCGGGACTCCCTCTTTGAGCCTTTCCTGCACTATAGCAGACGTATGTCAGGCCTGATGTGGCCTAGCAATGGGCGTGGGTCCCCCATGCTGTCTCACCTGCCTTCCAAGTCCCCATCCTAAGGAACAGGGCAGGAGGTGGTCTATGCCCTGCCTGGTGGTAGTATCGGGACCTGGGGTTTGGCTGCGCCAAGCTGGAAGGAACCTTCGAAACTCTCAGCCACCCACCCCGCTTTCTCAGAAAGGGAAACAAAAGCCCAGATACTCAGGAATTGGGCTGTGGTCACTCACAGAGGAGGGGTCTCCCACATGGGGCTACTTCTTTCCTGTGCCCACCCTAAGTAGGTTACTGGGAGTCCCCAGCCCCTCATGATGTGCCCCTGCCTCACCTTGCACAGGGCTGGGGAAGGCTGCCAGGTGTCAGCTGGGGGCTCCACTCGGGGCACCCTTTTTGGTGGCTCAGCACCAGGGCCCCAACCTCTAGAGCCCTGCCCTGGCTTGTCTTCGGCCCTGGGTGTCCCTGCACGTGCTCACTTCCCAAGAGCCTGCGCGTCCATTCACCTACAAAGCAGGTGGGGCAAGGCGACGCCCCTTTGTTTTTCAGATAAGAAAACTGAGGCTTGGAGGAGGGAAGAAAGTTGCCTGAGGTCAAAATATGGCCTAGCACCTGTTGACAAACTCCTTAAACCCTCAGCCCCTCAGGATGGGACAGGGGGAGTGAGCAGTGTGCCTGTGGCTGTCAGGTTCAGCCAGCTGAAACTCAGTGTCCCCACCTGGATCTAGGGGACAGGGGTAGGGTAGGACTTAAAGGTCTCGAAGGTTCTTCTGGTTCTAACATCCCGTGATTGATTGCCCCTAAATCCCTGACCCTCTGTCAATCTCTGTGGGTGATGGGGCACTTTCTGGCCTGCCTGCACACCTGTGTCGAGCTTGGGTGGGGATGAGTGGGGATGGGTGGGGGCTGGGGCCCTAAGTGCACCAGAGAAGCGGGGAGTTGGGGGTACAGCGAGAGCATCCACTGTTGATCTGTCCCAGTGAGGCCCTTCCCAGCCTCGGTTTCTTTCCAGACCTCTTTGTCAGAGTGCCAAGCTGCTCTGAGAGGGCCCCAGATTCAGGGTAGGGTCATAGCAGTTGGGGCAAGAAGTAGAGGGCCTGGTACCCTGACAGGGTAGCTAATCCAGCACAAGCCATGTGCCTTGGGATGCCTGGCCCTGCACCTCTTTTACTGCAGGGTGCTGCCAGCTGCGATATCTTGTCCCCTGCCTCTCCTGACTGCCCCTCCCCATCCCAAGGTTCTGGACCAAGACACAGATGCCATTGCAGTCCATGTAGTGAGGGTGCTGACCTGCATCATGAGCAGCTCCCCATCAGCCAAGGTGAGACCGCTGCACCCCGGCTGCAGTGGGGGATGGGGATGGAGTTAAATTGACCACATGTCCCCAGAACTGTCCTGGCTGGTGGCCATAAGAATCCTGCTCCCTGGAGCAAAGCAAGTGGGCTGAGGAGGTGACCGTCCTACTTGCCTGGGCATAGCTCAGCACGCTGGGTGGGTATGGTCACCAGTCTGTCCTTGGGAGCTGGATGTCCTAGGTCAGGGCTGGATGGGGGAGGGATACCTGTGGGCTAACCAACATCTGCAGCTTTCTGAGGTGGACTCATGCCCCAATTCCTCTGCACCCCCACCCTTGCCAGCACGGTGACGCAGAGGCATAGCCCTTCCAGGGTTCCCATGGGTATGGGTTTGCCCTAGGGCCCGTGCATGTGTTCATTTCTTTCACACGCTACCTTACACAGGAGGTATTTAAGGAACGCATCGGCTACCCTCACCTGCAGGAGGTTCTGCAGAGCCACGGTCCTCCCACCCATCGGCTGTTGCAAGAGCTGCTCAACATGGTGAGGGCAGGAGCTTGGGACCAGGGTCCCAGAGGCAGCCGGGACGGAGTCAGGGTTACCACAGATGGTGGGCTCCCCACCCTGGGGGACTGTGTTGACTGTGGCCAGTATGTGGTGTGACCTGTAGCCTGGCCACACGTCAGTGCCACTCGGATGAGGGTTCTGGACTGCGTGGGGCCTTAGAGGCAACTAAACATTAGCAAGCGCCAGGGGCATCCTAGAAACACACAGTTGGGTGAGGTCAACCCACACCGACAGCGGAGGCTCAGGGGTTACCAGTGCTGAAGGACTGTTAGTAGTGACGGTCACCAGTGGCCCTCTGAGCCTCACACACAACCTGTGGGCAGGATGGGGTCGCCCATGTTGCTCTCTCCTGCTGTAGGCAAGTAAATGGGGACAGGAAGTTCCCCTGTCGGCAGGGTGCCACAGTTGACCGGGGACTATCATTCTTTCCACCCACAGGCTGTGGAGGGTGACCACAGCACGTGCCCACCCCCACCAATCCGCAACGAGCAGCCGGTGCTGGTGCTGACGCAGTGGCTACCAGCACTGCCCACAGCCGAGCTGCAGCTCTTCCTAGCACAACAGCTCCGGTGGCTCTGTGACAGCTGCCCTGCCAGCCGTGCCACCTGTGTGCAGGCAGGCCTGGTGGGCTGCCTGTTGGAGACACTCAGCATGGGGGTATCCCTGGGGGCGCGCTGCCAGGAGCAGTTGTTGGCACTGCTGCAAGCGCTGGGCCGCGTGTCATTAAGGCCCTTGGAGCTGCGTCGCTTGCTGCGCCCCCCACCAGGGCTGGACTCTGGGCCAGGCGGAGCCGAGGCTGGGAAGGCACGACACGCAGGTGCTATCATCCGAGCTTTATCAGGCATGGCCAGGCACCAGGGTCCTGCACGTGCCCTGCGCTACTTTGACCTCACACCCAGCATGGCGGGTATCATGGTGCCCCCTGTGCAGCGATGGCCAGGACCTGGCTTCACCTTCCATGCCTGGCTCTGTCTGCACCCCACGGATGCAGTGCTTGCCCCAGCCCCCACCCGGCCACTCCAGCGAAAGCAGCTATACAGGTGGGTCACTGCCAGAAGCCAGGGCCCGCCTGCCAGGGTGAGCAGGGACAGGCAGCATAATTGGCTTGCCTGCCCCCAGCTTCTTCACCAGCAGTGGCTCAGGGTTTGAGGCCTTCTTCACGGCGGCTGGGACCCTGGTGGTGGCTGTGTGCACACGGAAGGAGTACTTGACCATGAGCTTGCCCGAAGCGTCCTTTGCCGACTCTGCCTGGGTGAGCCCCCGTCCTCCTCACGTGGCCCAGTGGAGGGGGGTGCCAAGTCCCAAGTGTGGCCTGATGTGGTGGCTTCTGTTCTAGCACTGTGTGGCTATCGTCCATGTGCCTGGGCGCCGGCCCTTCAGCCAGAACCTGGTCCATGTCTACAAAGACGGCCATCTGGTCAAGACAGCACCCCTTCGCTGCCCCTCCCTCAGTGAGGTGTGTCAAGCAGGATTTGGGGGGGTCTTGGGCAGGGGGGACTTGGAACATGGTTGGGGGGGCCTGGAACCCCTGTAGGTCTCCTCAGCCTCTGGGGTCCGTGCAGCCTCGGAGGTCACTTTGAGGAACTGGATGTCGGTGGAGCCCGAGGCTTTGCTGCGACCTGACTGCTCCCCAACCCTGGCCCCACAGCCTTTCTCCTCCTGCTGTATCGGCTCTGCTGGGCACCGCACAACCACCACCACCACGGGGCTGCCCACGCCACCAGTCCCCGCTGCCCTGGCTCACACTCACCCCTCCCTCACCCGCTCCCAGTCGGTCCCAGCCTCCACAGGCCTTGGCTGGGGGTCCGGGCTGGCGGCCCCCCTGCAGGAGGGCGGCATCAGCTCCACCCTTGCAGGCACACAGGACACTCGGTGGGGCAGCCCCACGTCCCTGGAGGGCGAGCTTGGGGCTGTGGCCATCTTCCATGAAGCCCTGCAGGCAGCGGCTGTGCGGATCCTGTGCACCCTGGGTATGCAGCACCATCCGCCCTGCCCAGCCCCCACCCCGTTGTCCCAAGACCCAGAGCCTGGGACTTACGAAGCATTCAGGCCAGAAACTAAGGGTTCAGGGCAGAGAAGGTATCTCTGGGGGTCTGTTTGGTCAGGCAGGGAAGAGGCAGGCTCTGGATGGGGTGCAGCCAGGGGCTCAGTGAGTCTGAGGCCCCTACCCACCCTCAGGGCCCAATGAGACGGCACCCTTCAAGCCTGAGGGCGAGCTGCATGAGCTCAGCGGCAAACTGCTTCTCCATTACTCCCCTCAGGTACTGTGGGGTGGGGGGTGGGGGGTGGGGAGTGCAGCCGTGCTGCTGCCCTGGCTCCCACACTCTGTCCGCTCCCCGCTCCTCCATCCGACCTTGCTGCCAGCTCACTCCCCTACCCCAGGCCTGTAAGAACAACATCTGCCTGGACCTGTCTCCCAGCCATGGCCTGGATGGCCGCCTGACAGGACACAGGGTGGAGACCTGGGACGTGAAGGTGCGTGTGCACGTGTGGGCCACATGTGGAGGTGTGAGCATGGGGCACACGTGTGTATGGAGCCAGTGGGGGGTGGCCCCCTGGGAGGGCCTTGGGTCTCCACTGCAAGAGAGCAAAACTCCCCTGCATCAGGTTCCCAGGCCTGGTGGTCTGCTGGGAGGCATCGGGTAGGAAACTGGCTGGGAGGCGCCCCCTTACCACCATCCCCCTGCCCCCAGGATGTAGTGAACTGCGTCGGGGGCATGGGTGCTCTGCTGCCTCTGCTGGACCGAGTGGCAGCGCAGCCCCAAGAGGCTGAGGCAGGCCCGGCTGAAACACATGACCTCGTGGGGCCTGAATTGACCTCTGGCCACAACACCCAGCGCCTACTTCTCCCCCTGGGCAAGTCTTCAGGTAAGTGTCCCTGGCGCCTGGGTTGCCGGGAGGGAATGTTGGCATGATGGGGTTGGAGTGCTTGAGGTCTCGTGGCCACTGGCAGGCCCCTGAAACACATGTCTCCCCTTCTGGCAGAGGAACGCATGGAGAGGAATGCAGTGGCTGCCTTTCTACTGATGCTGCGGAACTTCCTGCAGGGTCACGTGGTGAACCAGGAGAGCCTGGTGCAGTGCCAGGGGCCCGCCATTATCGGGGCCCTCCTACGAAAGGTGGGGCCTGGTGGGGCAGGTGCAGGGATCGGGGGTGTCTGCCTGTCTGACTGGGGCTGGGTGGGGGAACCTGATGCTCTGTCAGTCAGGGAGAAGCTCTTGGGAGAGGTGGCACTTGCTTGGAGACTTGAAAGGCTGGGCAGGGTTTAGCCGAGAGGATCCGGGGAAAGGGCCAGCATAGGCTGCGGCAGGGGACCTGCACTTCAGAGACAGCAGGAGCCACCGAAGGGTTTTGAGCAGGCAGATGGCCACATGGGTGTCAATCGCGGCTGTGCGGGGAAGGCTGGAAGCTGAGAGGCTCGCACAGCAGACAGGTGGTGCCTGTCGTCTGAGCCCCACTCCTTCTCCCACCCCAGGTTCCCAGCTGGGCCATGGACATGAACGTGCTCATGTCTGCCCAGCTGCTGATGGAGCAGGTGGCAGCTGAGAGCCGCAGGCCCCTCCTGTACCTGCTCTACCAGCATCTGCTCTTCAACTTTCACCTGTGGACCTTCAGTGACTTTGCTGTGCGCCTCGGTAGGTGTGGGGACCTGGGTAAGGGGCCAGCCTCAGGGCAGGTGTGGGCTGAGAAGTTACAACCCTGCTCTGGGAGATCCAAGGGATGTCTGTGATAGGAATCCAGCTCTGCCCTGGGGTGTGTGAGGCACATATGGCCCTGCCCTGGAGAATGTGATGGGCCCAGCTCAGCCTGGTGGCCTGAGCCCTCTGCTGATGCCACTCAGGCCACATCCAGTACATGTCCAGCGTAGTCCGTGAGCACAGACAGAGGCTGTGGAAGAAGTACGGGGTCCAGTTCATCCTCGATGCCCTGCGTACCCACTATAGGTGAGGCCAATGGGGCCAGATGGGCAGTGGGAACTGACACAATGGCCTCTGGCTTCAGGGACAGGACGGTGTGCTCCCCCGGCTCACTTGCCCACTCTCCCTGATTTCTTTCCCCTCCGTTGTCCTGGGCCTGGCTGGGTGTGCATGCTGGACCTGCCAGCCCACAGCGGGAGCACCCCCTGGCTGCTGACGACCTGCACACAATGCAGACTTCCCTCCTGGGCCTGGCTCGGGAGTTCCTGGTGCGGAGCCTCTCGGCTGATGACGTGCAGGTCGCACAAGTCATGCTGAGCTTTCTGGCGGCCACAGGTGATGACGGCCAGGTAAGCCAGCGTTGGCAAGGGTAAGGCTTGGGTGAGGGGTGTGTAGATCACCGGGGGGCCCAGCCCAGTGTGAGACTCTGCACCCCCAGGTGGTGGGTGCGCTGGACCTGCTGCTGGCACTGCTGCAGGGCTCCACGGCACAGGAGTCCTTGGCTGTCTTTCTGCTGGAGTCAGGGAACCTCGAAGTGCTGCTGGCACTGCTGGTGCGGCCAAGGTCGCTGCCTCTGCTGCATGACCGAGTCTGCAAGGTACACGCAGCCCGCCTCCGACCGCGGCATCCTATTTGCTGGGGCCCCTGCCTGGGGTCCAGGGAGGTGCAGGCCTTGGGCCAGCAGATAAAGCTGCCTTCACAGGCCTTCCCTCGAGCCACACAACTGCGTGGTGACTTCCCATCCTACAGTAACCCCTTCTTCGTGACGACAATCCCCCAATGACCCTATGCAGATCCTGCGCAGACTGCAGCAGAATGAGCGATTACCTGACTGGGGCCGTCAGCGGCTCCGGCTGCCAGACTACGGTCTTCAGGGTCTCGTTGCCTGCCTGCCTGAGGGGACTGTTTCTCCCCAGCTCTGCCAGGGCCTCTACAAGCTGTTCCTGGGGGCAGGTACAACCTGGTTGAGGCTAAGAGGCAGGCCAGGTGGAGAGAGTGACATGTCAAGAAAATGGGGCAGGTGGGAAGAGGGAAGGTGGTGTTGGCATAGGGGACCAGTCCCTCAGGCCCCTCTGCCCATCCTCCCAGACCGCCTGAACCTCTCAGATCTGCTGGCTGTGGTACAGCTGTCCCTCCAGGCTGACCTCAGTGTTCGCCTGGACATCTGTCGCCAGGTAAGTGGGAGAGACGAAAGCTTTGGGGGATGGGGTGCAGCTTCTGCCCTCTGGACTTCACTCTGCCTGTCTGTGACAAGGGGTCTCTGGAGGCCTCCCCTGCAAAGGCCCCAGGAGGAGGGTCTGGGGGCAGGTGGTCAGATGTGTCCCTCACTTGCTGTGCCCTGGCCCGCAGCTCTTCCACCTCATCTACAGACTCCCAGATGTAGTGCGGCTACTGGCCCAACAAGCTGGCTGGCAAGATGTCCTGACCCGGCTGTATGTCCTGGAGGCGGCCATGACTGGCAGTCCCCCGCCCTTTGCCCCAGAACCACCCACCTCCCCGGAGCCAGCCTTGCCCAAGCCACCCACTGAGTCACCTGCTGAGTCTTCAGAAGTCTTCCTGCCCTCAGGGGTTTCCTGCCCCTCTGAAGCCTTTTACCATGCTCTCTCCCCGTTCTGCATGCCCTTTGACTTGGGCCTGGAACGGGCCAGCGTGGGCTCAGGCAACACTGCTGGTGGCGGCAGCAGCAGTGGGACTCTTACTCCAGCCAGCCAGCCTGGCACACCTTCCCCACTGGATGGCCCGCGGCCCTTCCCTGCTGCCCATGGCCGCCACAGCTCCAGTCTCTCCAATGTGCTGGAGGATGGCAGCCTCCCGGAGCCCACCATTAGCGGGGACGACACCTCTAACACCAGCAACCCTCAGGTGAGGTGGGCCCACCCCCTGCCACTGCATGGTACCCAAGGGAGGATGCCTCTGGCACATAGTCTGCCACCAAGGCTACAGCCGCCAGTTGGGCCTGTTGCTGCCCCCTTGTAGCTCTCACTTGCAGCTGTGCTCCCAAGGGGGTCGTGGAACAGGGCGAATCATACTGAGCTAGAGTGGGGGATGCCAGCCAGGCTTCAGAGGGTCCTCAAGAAAGCCTGTAGGGCAGAGTCCGCAAGGGCAGCATAGCCCTAAGGGTCCTGCCTTGTGCTTCTGGGTTTGGGGATGAGTCTCTGCTCGTCCTATGAGAACTGCCTCATCTCCTCTTGGGAGTCCAATGAGACCCCAGGATTCTCCCTGGAATTCAGATAGTGGCAGAATCCAGGCCTTTGGCACCAGGCTGCCCGTTAGCTGAACGCTTTGCCTCCTGCTGCTCCTACTAGCAGGTGGACAAGGGGTGCTGAGTGGGGGTGGCAGGGGTCAGCCTGATGGCCTCCCTCCCCAGCCCACACCCACACCACCCACCTGTGCCCACAGCAAACCTCTGAGGAGGAGTTGTGCAACCTGCTCACCAACGTGCTATTCTCAGTGACATGGTGGGGCGTGGAAGGCACCGATGAGGCTGCCTGGCGGGAGCGTGGCCAGGTCTTCTCCGTGCTTACCCAGCTGGGGGCCTCAGCCACGCTTGTGCGCCCCCCAGATTATATCAAGCGCAGGTGAAAGGGCAACTTGGGAGGATGAGGGGCCTCGGGGAGCCTGGGGGCAAGGAAGGCAGTCAGTAGGGTAGACACCTGAGTCCCTCGCCCACCCCCAGCCTCCTGGAGATGATGCTGGAGTCAGCCCTGACCGACATCAAGGGGGCCCCCGTCGGAGTCCTGGCCAGCCTCACCCAGCAGGCACTTTGGCTGCTGCGCCTGCTGCAGGACTTCCTGTGTGCTGAGGGCCATGGTAACCAGGAGCTGTGGAGTGAAAAGGTGCGTTGCTCAGAGGAGCATGAGCCGCGTGAGCACTCTTGTTCACGCGAGCCTGTAGGCATCTGATCTGGGAGGTGGCTGAGTCCACGTGTGCTGTTGTGGGTGCATCTGCACGGATACCTATAAGCGTGGACTCGTCTGTGTGCACAAACCCTACCTGGCCCCAGCCCAGACTTTACCTCGCTCCCTCCCCATGGACTCCTGGCCTCGTCTGGTGACATTTGTCGGGAATATGTTATGTGTGGCAGCTCTTTGAAGGTGTGTGCAGCCTGCTTGATCGCCTGGGAGCCTGGCCACACCTGGCCAACAGCACAGCCGATCTCCGTGAAATGGCACAGATTGGCCTGCGTCTAGTACTTGGCTACATCCTGCTGGAAGACCCACAGGTGAGCACAGGGGTGGGTATGGGGGTAGGGAGTGTGGCAGGTGTAAGGAGCTCTGAGTGGCTGGGTGCCACCCACTCCCTGCTTACACCCACAGCTGCATGCCCAGGCCTATGTGAAGCTACACATGCTGCTGCAGACTGCAGTGCCACCCCGCCGGGAGGAGGCCTGCTATGTGCTCTCCAAGCTGGAGGCTGCACTGGGGCGGGCGCTGAACACCTCTTCCTCCAAGAAGGCCACCGAGGATGCAGCACCCCCACCTGCAGCAGCAGCAGCTGCAGAGCGCTGCTCGTGGCTGGTGCCACTAGTGCGCACGCTGCTGGACCGTGCGTATGGGCCACTGGGGCTGCAGTGGGGACTGCCTTCCCTGCCGCCCACCAATGGCAGCCCCACCTTCTTTGAGGATTTCCAGGCTTTTTGTGTCACACCTGAATGGCGCCACTTCATCGACAAGCAGGTACTTGTCGAAGGAGGTAGGGGCCCAGGAAGAGACATGGGGCTGGGGCCCACTTCCAGCACTGATCTACTCTCTGTGCCCAATCCTGCAGGTGCAGCCCACCATGTCTCAGTTCGAAATGGACACATACGCTAAGAGCCACGACCTCATGTCGGGCTTCTGGAACGCCTGCTATGACATGCTCATGAGCAGTGGGCAGCAGCGCCAGCGGGAGCGTGCTTATAGTCGTCGGGCCTTCCAGGTGTGCTGCCCGGGGTTGGGGACAGGGAGCTGCTCCACAGATGGTCCCAGGGGACAGCTGACAAGGCAGAGTGGAGGAATGGGGGCAGGACAGGCTGCAGCCAGCAGGACTGACCCATTCCCCCGCCCCAGGAATTGGTGCTGGAACCTGCACAGCGGTGGGCGCGCCAGGAGGGACTGCGCTACTCCGTGGTGCTGAAGCAGCAGGCAGCGCAGCAGTCAACCTCCCTGCTGCACTGGGGGGCGCTGTGGCGCCAGCTCTCCAGCCCCTGCGGGGCCTGGGCGCTGAGGTGGGCCAGGCTTGGGGCGGAGTCATGGGGGAGAGGTGGGGCTTGATAGGGAGGGAGCGATCTGAAGCCCCAGAGTGCCTTTGGGGTGGGTGGGGCCTTGGAGGGATGGGGGTCTGCAGCCTTCCACCTACCTGTGACCACCACTGGGGACATTCTGCAGAGACCCCCCCACCCCTCACTGGAAACTGTCCAGTGCTGAGACATACTCACGCATGCGTCTGAAGCTGGTGCCCAACCATCATTTCGACCCTCACCTGGAAGCTAGCGCCCTCCGTGACAATCTGGGTGAGAGAGTGTGCCAAGCTGTGTCCACCCAACTCATATTTCCAGTCCTGCCTTTCTTTGGCTGAGTACCCTTGGTCCCTACAGGTGAGGTTCCCCTGACACCCACCGAGGAGGCCTCACTGCCTCTGGCAGTGACCAAAGAGGCCAAAGTGAGTACCCCGCCGGAGGAGCTGCAGGAAGACCAGCTGGGCGAGGATGAGCTGGCTGCATTGGAGACCGTGTGAGTGGGGCCCCTCGAGAGGCCCGGCCGGGGCAGTGGGCAAGGGGCCTGCTCCGGTGTGCACCTGCTGTGCCATTGCCTCCCTGAGGCTGTCTCCTGCTGCCCAACTTCAGTCTCCTGAAAGGACTGTCCAAAATCAGGTGGTGGGGTGGGGGCATTGGGTGTTAGCTAGGCACCCACAGTAGGACTGAGACACCAACCAGGGCAGGATGGGGGCCCCAGGGAGTGGGCAGGCCTGGGTGTGGGGAAGCAGGGGACAGAGCTTGGTGTCCTGGCAAGATATTTGGAAGCTCAGGTAGGAGAAGGGACAGGGACTGGGGCCACTCCTCACTTTCTGGGAGGCATGAGCGTTATGTATCTCACGATGTGATGGCACTTGGAGAGTATGGCCCTTAGACTTGTCAGGAAGGGGGTCCTGGAGCCTGAGGTGGATGTTGGTCTTTAGGATGGAGGCGGCAGAGCTGGATGAACAGCACGAGAAGCTGGTGCTGTCGGCTGAGTGCCAGCTGGTGACAGTAGTGGCTGTGGTCCCAGGGCTGCTGGAGATCACCACACAGCACATATACTTCTACGATGGCAGCCCCGAGCGTGTGGAAACCGAGGAGGGTGTGTCCTGGTGGAGTGGGTTGGGGAGATGGCAGGGAATGGCTGGGGTCTGGGTGGGGCTGGAGTGAGTGATCCCCAAACCCACTCCTCATCCCCCAGGCGTCGGCCATGACTTCCGGCGCCCACTGGCCCAGCTGCGTGAGGTCCACCTGCGGCGTTTCAACCTGCGCCGTTCAGCACTTGAGCTCTTCTTCATTGATCAGGCCAACTACTTCCTCAACTTCCCGTGCAAGGTGGGCGGGACCCCGGCCTCATCTCCTTGCCAGGCTCCCAAGCTCCAACCCTGCCCCATCCTACACCACACCCAGGTGCGGAATCAGGTGTATTCGTGGCTCCTGCGCCTGCGGCCCCCCACTCAAGGCTACCTAAGCAGCCGATCCCCCCAGGAGATGCTGCGTGCCTCAGGCCTTACCCAGGTGAGAGCCCTGGAGAGTGAGGTGGTGGGTGTGAGGGCAGAAGCCTGAGGGTGGGGGCAGGGCTGGACAGCCCGGCCCACTCGCCCCTTGCCTGCATCTGCCTCCAGAAATGGGTACAGCGTGAGATATCCAACTTCGAGTACTTGATGCAACTCAACACGATTGCAGGGAGGACCTACAATGACCTGTCTCAGTACCCCGTGGTGAGGGCCCCACTCTTCACACCTCCACCCCCGTCCCTCTGATCTGTCAGCATTTGGTTCACCCAAGTGTGGGCACCTACCAGTGGGCCAAGCCACGAGCTTGGTCCTGGGTAGGTGTGTCTCTGACTAAGACCTGGCCTCTGTCCCACGGACCCCACCCCCACTCCCCTGTATTCCTGGCCTCTGTTCCCCAAAAGGAATCGTGTCCCAGAATAGTTCGTCCTGCTTCCTTGACCTATGGGCAGGCTCTGTGACCATTTTCCTGAGGGGCAGGGCAGAGTGGGCAGGTAACTTCCATCACGGTCCTTATGCAGCCCCCGCCTGGGTGGGTGGCCAGTTTCCCTGGGTCCTGCAGGACTACGTTTCCCCAACCCTGGACCTCAGCAACCCAGCTGTCTTCCGGGACCTGTCCAAGCCCATCGGTGTGGTGAACCCCAAGCATGCTCATCTCGTGAGGGAGAAGTGAGCACGTGGGCAGGCCGGGCTTGGAGAGGCGGGGATGGGCCAGGGAAGGGTTTCTGTTGACTCCCCCTAACTGTGGCCCCAGGTATGAGAGCTTTGAGGACCCGGCAGGCACCATTGACAAGTTCCACTATGGCACCCACTACTCCAATGCAGCAGGCGTGATGCACTACCTCATCCGCGTGGAGCCCTTCACCTCCCTGCACATCCAGCTGCAGAGCGGCCGGTGCGGACCTGGGGGTGGGAAGCAGATGGGGGCAGGTCCTGGGCCCGCCCCACTTTCTTTTTCCCTCTGGCTGTACCTTCTCCCCACTCACCTCAGCCCATGTCCTCCCCCAGCTTTGACTGCTCTGACCGGCAGTTCCACTCAGTGGCAGCAGCCTGGCAGGCACGCCTGGAGAGCCCTGCCGATGTGAAGGAGCTCATCCCAGAGTTCTTCTACTTCCCTGACTTCCTGGAGAACCAGAATGGTAGGTGCGAGGCGCCGGCAGTGGGCACGAGGAGGGAGATCACAGGCTGGGGGCGGCCAGGGAGCAGTGAGCCCTGCACAGAGACATGGCTGACTCAGTCCTCTGTGCCAGGCTTCGACCTGGGCTGCCTCCAGCTGACGAATGAGAAGGTGGGGGACGTGGTGCTGCCCCCATGGGCCAGCTCTCCTGAGGACTTCATCCAGCAGCACCGCCAGGCTCTGGTGAGGCGGTGACCACACACAGACAGGCTGGCAGCTGGGTGGGGTTGGGGGCCATGGTAGGGCCCAGCCGTCCCTGGCTGACTGCCCCATCCCCACTCCAGGAGTCAGAGTATGTATCTGCCCACCTGCATGAGTGGATCGACCTCATCTTCGGCTACAAGCAGCGGGGGCCGGCAGCCGAGGAGGCCCTCAATGTCTTCTATTACTGCACCTATGAAGGTGGGCCGTGCGCTGGACTCAAGTCAGGGTGGGCACAGATCAGGAAGGGTGAATGCAGGGGGCACAGAGGGAGTCCTCACTGCTCTGCCTGCCTGTCTAGGGGCCGTAGACCTGGACCACGTGACGGATGAGCGGGAGCGGAAAGCTCTGGAAGGCATTATCAGCAATTTTGGGCAGACTCCCTGTCAGCTGCTAAAGGTAAGGCCAGCTTGGAGGACAGGAGCAGGGATGCCCATACCATGGTGCTGACTAGCCCCTTGCCCGTAGGAGCCACATCCGACCCGGCTCTCAGCTGAGGAAGCAGCCCATCGCCTTGCACGTCTGGACACTAACTCACCTAGCATCTTCCAGCATCTGGACCAGCTCAAGGCTTTCTTTGCAGAAGTGAGAGGACAGGGCCTCAACTTTTCATTCTGTGAAATGGGTTTAACCCCACTGTCCTTCTCAACCTTTGGGGCAGATAGGAATCTTAAATCAGTCTTACTGATTTAAAGCCACCTTGGAGAATGAGCTAAACATGAGAAGAGTATGGGGGCAGGAGGGATACCTTCTAGGGCCAGGACAAGAAGTTGACTCACTTAATACCCTGAAAGCCTTAGAGAGATTGGGAGGGAGAGGAAATCTAGCCCTAGACCCCTTCCCTTCCCTTACTGCCTGTGTTTGGGAATGTTGCCCCTAGGCCTGACTTTTTTTATGCACACCTTTCCCTGCCACTGGGCTAGGCGGACAAGGAGTAATGGGGCAGGAGGACCAAGCTTGATACTCTGGAAGGATCTGTGTCCATCCCAGCTTCTCACTGACTTTCTGAAATGCCCTCCTGAAGGCCCACTGGTCTCTCATGCTTGTTTCTTGGAGGCTCCTCTGGGTCTGTGATGCCTACTTTGTGACCCCTGGGGACTCAGGGCAAAGGAAGGGTAGTGCCCCAGGGAGTAGATAGTGTAGTAGGGGCCCCAGCTGGCACTCAGGCACAGCCAGCCCTGCTCTTACTCTGCAGGTTGTCAGTGACGGTGTGCCCCTGGTGTTAGCCTTGGTCCCCCACCGGCAGCCCCACTCCTTCATCACCCAGGGCTCCCCAGACCTGTTGGTAAGTGCACTGGGCAGGGCCCCACCTCAGCTCCACCCCCTCTTTGCCTGTGCCCCAAACCCACTGCTGCCCCTCCTGCCCACAGGTGACCGTGAGTGCCAGTGGGCTGCTGGGCACCCACAGCTGGTTGCCCTATGACCGCAACATAAGCAACTACTTCACCTTCAGCAAAGACCCCACCATGGGCAGCCCCAAGTAGGACAGAGGGCTGTGGGTGGGGGCGGGCTATAAATGCCCTGTACCCAATCAGAATGTAGGCCAGCTGTCGGGGAGAGGTCTGGCCAGGTCCCCAAGGGCCTGGGTCTCTTCCCTGTGGCCTGGCCTCACCTGCCATCTCCCTCACTGGGTCAGGACGCAGCGACTGCTGAGTGGCCCGTGGGTACCAGGCAGTGGTGTGAGTGGGCAAGCATTGGCAGTGGCCCCTGACGGAAAGCTGCTGTTCAGTGGTGGCCACTGGGATGGCAGCCTACGAGTGACTGCACTACCACGTGGCAAGCTCTTGAACCAGCTCAGCCACCACCTTGGTATGAGCAGCCCTGGAGCTGGGGAGAATGAGGCATGTGGGCGTAGGGTGGGGTTCTGAGGCTGGCCAGGGAGGATGCGACTACTCTGTTCTGCCTGTACCTTCCCTTCCCCATGCAGATGTAGTGACCTGCCTTGCACTGGATACCTGTGGCATCTACCTCATCTCAGGCTCCCGGGATACCACATGCATGGTGTGGCGGCTCCTGCAGCAGGTATGCCTGGTGGGCGGCTCCATAGGTGTCCCTCTAGCCTAGACCTGCAGCCCATCCCCCTCAGTGACCTTCCCATCCTGCCCTCCTATCTTTCCCTTCCCTCCACTGCCATAAGCAAGTTTGGGGCTCCGTGACCCTCCAGCTCTCTGGCCTTGGACAAGACCTTCACTGTCCTGAGCCTCAGCCTTCTCATCCAGGGGCCAGTCCTAAGCCAGCCCTGGTTCCCCATAGGGTGGTCTGTCAGTAGGACTGGCACCAAAGCCTGTGCAGGTCCTACACGGGCATGAGGCTGCAGTGAGCTGTGTGGCCATCAGTACTGAACTCGACATGGCTGTGTCTGGATCCGAGGTGCGTGTGTGCATGTACCCTGGGGAGGGTCAGTTTGTTGGGCACTGCCCCTGCACCTCAGAGACCACTGCCCAGCACTTTAAGCTGCCTTCCTGCAGAATGGAACTGTGATCATACACACCGTACGCCGTGGCCAGTTTGTGGCAGCGCTGCAGCCTCCACTTGCCACACTGCCTGGACCTGTGTCCCACCTGGCACTGGGATCTGAAGGCCAGATTGTGGTACAGAGCTCAACAGGGGAACGTCCTGGGGCCCAGGTATGGTGAACTTACACCCAGCAAAGACAGAGGGGCAGCTGGGATCCTATTGCTGACACTCCGTTTCCTTCAGGTCACCTATTCCTTGCACCTGTACTCAGTCAACGGGAGGTTGCGGGCTTCACTGCCCCTGGCAGAGCAGCCTACAGCCCTGGCAGTGACAGAGGACTTTGTGTTGCTGGGCACCGCACAGTGTGCCCTGCACATCCTCCACCTGAACAAGTGAGCCTCATTATTTATGGGTTCATGGCCCCTCACGGTGGTGGTCATTGGCAGAGGATAATGAGGGATGCCCCCTGTGCACCCACACACTCTATACATGTTTGTGGATACATTCTTCAAGGTGTGTTACCTGTCCTCTCATCTCCCTATGGGAAAATCTTGCCCTGGGCCTCCCTTAGCCACACGGTTGTGGGACATCTCTTTATGTATCAGGGTTTCAATTTAGCCGTCCTTAAAATGAGGAGAGGCTATATGGGCTAATGAAGAGACATCTATCTGCTGAATGCAAAGCCTCCTTGCGGTTCGTGTATATACCCTCCTCCACTCCAGACTGCTCCCGGCGGCGCCTCCCCTGCACATGAAGGTGCCCATTCACAGTGTAGCTGTGACCAAGGAGCGCAGCCACGTGCTCGTGGGCCTGGAGGATGGCAAGCTTATTGTGGTGGGCGCAGGGCAGCCCTCCGAGGTGAGGATAGGGGCAGGGGGACCTCGAACGGGGCGGGGCACGGCGGTCCTGGCTGACTCCACCCCATCCCTCCTCCCACCAGGTGCGCAGCAGCCAGTTCGCGCGGAAGCTGTGGCGATCCTCGCGGCGCATCTCCCAGGTGTCCTCGGGCGAGACAGAGTACAACCCTGGAGAGGCGCGATGACACCCTGGCCCGCCCCGCTGCTCAGGCTCCGCCCCCAGTGGGCCCGGGAGGCCCCGCGCAGGAGTCGCTGAGTCGCGGCACCAGGGGGTGGGCGGGGCCCCACCCCGGGCCAGCTCAGGGATTGGTGGGCGGTGTCATTCCCGGAAACCCCGCCCCTCGCCGGCTGAGGGGCTGTCTGAGACCCAGCTCTGGCTTCTGCGGCCGCAGCGCACTTTTTGCACAGTCTGGGGCGGGGTTCCCCGGCTTCCAAGTCCCGGTCCGAGCAGAGCACAAGGGCCGCCTGTGGCCTTAATTCCTAAAGGCGGCCGGTTCTCCCATTCTAAGCAATAAACCTGGTGTAGTTTTGTAGCCGCTCGGGCTCTGAGTATGCGTGCACACGGCGCTTAGGCCTGCCGTGGCCGCCATCCCAGGGTTGCTGTCTCGGTCTGGGCTGGCTCGTGTTCTCCTGGTCTGTGACCCCTTCTGGGGCCACTCGCCCCCTCTGCGTGGCTTCCCCTGACCTGAGTACTCCTGGGGCCTCAGTGTTCCTGGCTGCTCAGACCCCGGCCCTGGGGTTTCTCTCCTGCCATATCGTCCCCTGGCTCGTGGTTTCTCCGCTCCCTCCATCCTTCGTCGGATCCTTTGCGCGCCATTCGTGCACTCCCGCCACCAGACCAGGCTTGTGTGCACATTCCTGTACCCGATAGGGGTGACAGGGCCGGTGGTCGCGCCCCTCCAGCTCAGTGCAGCCCCTCATTGTCCTGACCCCTTCTTGTGCCGCCCTGTGCCGCTGCTCGGGTCTCCAACGTACTAGAACCCAGCCTCCCCAGGGACTCCACATCGACGTCTTCCTGTTGGTCCCCAGCCCCTCCCAGTTGAGCAGATCCATGTTGGCACCCGCGAAGGGGTGGCTGCTGCAGGTCAGAAGGAGTTGGGGGCTGCAGAGCCCCGGTTATTGCTGGACGGAGGGAACCAACAGCCGCCTCTTTCCCCCACCTAGAGACCCGCAGTCGTGCCAGTGTTGTGCATACTGGTGCCAGTGTCTTTGTTAGGGTGTGTTAAGGTAGTGCGGGCATGTTGTTGCATTGTGTGTGCGTATTTTGTGGACCTGGAAATGGGTGCGGAGGTGGAGAGAGGGTCCGATCCCGCAGCTCAGAGTGGGTCAAGCTGAAGCCAGGACTATTTGCTGCTGCCCAGCTGGTCACAGGCCCACCCACTGACCAGGATTCTGGAAGGGCCCCTCATGTGGTAAGTGCCAAACGTACACACCCCACTGCTGCCATGTCCCAGACCCACTTGGCCACAGCACTGGATTTCTTGCTGACTTTATGCACATGACCTGGGTGTGGTGCAGACCTGTCCAGGTACGAGTTGGTGGATACTGGGGAGTCGGACGGCCTTCCCCCAGGTCTCTCCTCCATTTCTTCTCCAGGCAAGACCAGAGGTCTAGACTCTTCTCAGCCTAGACCAGAGGTCTGTCTTCCTCAGACCCCAGAAAGTGGGTCACAGCAGATTCAGCCCTGTAGGATCCAGATAGGACTGGGTGGCCCTGTTCTTCAGGTTTCAGGTCCTCTCTTTGAATTCCCAAGTGACCCAGGACCAAACAGGAGACAGACCTCTGGGCCCACATGCTCTATACCTTTGCTGAACCCACCAAGGAACCATCCCCCCCTGCCCCTGAGAGTCATCCTACACCATCCTACACTGTCCAGGAGAGTACTGGACACTGACCCTCAAGGGAGGAGTGGCAGCATAGTCACTACAGGAAGCCCTCCTGCCTTGGGGCTTTTGGATGTTGGGTTCCTGGGCTCATGCTGAGAAGCCTGGGAGTGAACCTCCTACTGGCCAGTCAGTATCTCCAGCCTGCTTCTGGCTGAGATAGAGCCAG